TAAAAAAGATACATAGTTAAAGGTTGCCTTTGTAGTCTCTATTTTTACTCATCCACCTGTGAGACCTTTAAAAATGTTGAATATCTACAGTTAACTACCTTCAGGGTTTATTGTGAATTCGTATTGATTTTGAATTCTAAAAATTTCAAGCCATCATGCAGTACCTGACAGTATAACACTTAAATTTTAGGTAGTATTGGATGATGAGTCTGAAGCATTGGTAGCCTATAGTACATTTTAATTAGTGATTCTAGTAAATGTAAATAAAATTACAAAATTATATACTATAGTAAACTGAAATATTCAATCAGTTTCTGGATTTTATTTTCTTTTTTTGTGGCTGCTGTTTTTATCAAGATAAATATCTGAACATCTAGATAGTTACACAATTCCAGATGTTTACAAATCTGGGTTGTGAAGATTATTATTTGGGTAAAACTTTTTTTTTCTAGATATTTAAGACATATACAAATAACTTCGAATGATTTAAAATTTAGATAAAAATGAAAATGTTTGAAATTTTCTATAGACTAGACTTTAAAACAGCTCCGTATTTCCTTATTGTCAGAAGCTGTCAAAATTTAGAAAACGTTGCTCATGAAATAGGAACTAAGAATACAGGCAAATAAAGAGAAACTTGCCTAAGGCTTTTACAATGCTTTCATTCAAAAAATATTTATTAAGCATATATTATGTGACAGGTGATGTCCCTCGGATACATACGTAAATACAACAAATGTCACTGCCTTCCTGAAGCTTACATTCTAACCATCAGCAAACCAGAAAAACCAAACCCGTTGCTGCTGAGTGGATTCCGACTCATAGCGACCCTATAGAACAGAGTAGAACTGTCCCACAGGGTTTCCAAGGCTGTAATCTTTACGGAAGCAGATTGCCACATCTTTCTCCTGCGGAGTGGCTGGTGGGCTCAAACCACTGACCTTTTGGTTAGCAGCTAAGCGCTTAACCACTGCACACCAGGGCTCCTTCTAACCAAGGGAGGTGGACAATAAACAAAATAAATTATGTCGTATGTTTAAAAAAAAAAAAGACCAAACCCATTGCCATCAAGTTGATTCTGACTCATAGCAACCCTATAGGACACAGTAGAACTGCCCCATAGGGTTTCCAAGGAGCAGCTGGAGGATTCGAACTGCTGACCTTTCAGTTAACAGCCATAGCTCTTAACCACTGCACCACCAGGGCTCCATGTAGATTGTTAGAAGGTGATAACCAGTTGCCATGAAGTCAACTCCAACTCATGGTGACCTGATGTGTGTCAAAGTAAAACTGTGCTGCATAGGGTTTTCAATGGCTGATGTTTTAGAAGTAGATCGCCAGGCTTTTTTTCTAGAGAAGGTGATAAGTACAGTGGGGGAAAAAAGTATAAAGGGGGGCAAGAGTAGTAGTTATACTAAATAGGGTGGTCAGGATACTCCATGTTGACAAGGTGCATTTTGAACCAAGATTTGAATAAAACAGTTAGCCAGTGTTACGGATTGAATCATGTCCCCCAAAAATATGTGTTGTAAATCCTAATCCCTATACTTGTGGTTATAATCCCATTTGGGAATGGGGTCTCTTTGTTATGTTAATGAGGCCATATTAGTGTAGAGCGTATCTTAAATCAGTCTCTTCTGAGATATAAAAGAGATTAAACAAGCAAGTGAGAAGCAGAGATGGGGGAAGATAGATGCCACACTGCATGAAGATTGGCAAGGAGCAAGGAACAAGGACCTTCCCCCAGAGCCGAAAGAGAGAAAGCTTTCCCCTAAAGCCTGTGCCATGAATTGCACTTCTAGTCTCCTAAGGTATGAGAAAATAAATTTCTGTTTCTTAAAGCCACCCACTTGTGGTATTTCTGTTATAGCAGCACTAGATAACTAAGACAGCCAGCAGTTATCTAGGGGAAGAGCATGACAGCAGAGAACAGCTAGGCCAAAGGCCCTAAAACATGCTTGGTCTATTTGAGGAACTTTGAGGAGCCAGCATCAGTGGAGTGGAGTGATCAAGGGTCAGTAGTAAGCAATGAAGCCAGATCATGTAGAGCCTTGTAAGCCATGGTAGGACTTGATATTTTACTCTGAGTGAATGAGGAGCCATTGGAGAATTTTAAGTACAGGAGTGACATGATCTGATTTGGGTTTTAAAAGGATCATTCTGATCCTGGTTAAAAACTATAGCCTGTACTGGGGACAAGGGAAAGTTTAAGGGTAGTAGATGGAGGGTCTTGTGATTGGGTTAAGGTTATAGCTTAGGTCAAAGTAGCAGCAGTGGAGGTGGTGATGTGTGGTCATACTCTTAAAATATTTTTGAAGGTAGCACCAACAGGATATTCTGATAAACAGGATGTGGAGTGAGAGAGGACTGTATGTGCTTCCAAGGTTTTTTGCCTAAGCATAGATGAAGTTGCCGTTAACCAAAGCCCAAAAAAACCAAACCTGTTGCCATTGAGTTGAGTTGATTCTGACTTGTAGTGACCCCACAGGACAGAGTAGAACTGCCCCACAGGGTTTCCAAGGAGCAGCTGGTGGATTCAAACTGCCGACCTCTTGGTTAGCAGTCAAGCTCTTAATCACTGTGCCACCAGGACTCTGCCATTAACTAAGATGGAAACAAAAACTATAAAGGCAGTTGGTTTTGGATGAGGGTTTGGAGATGAGGAGTTCAGGTTTGGATATAGTGAGTGGACAGAGCTAATAATACTAGTGCAGATGCTAAATGGCAGTTGAGCATGTAAGTCTGGAGTAGAGATAGAAGTGTGGGAATCGCAGAATACTGAAGGCATGGAACTAGATAAGATCATCAAGCAAAACAAACAAGTCCTAAATCCAGAGGCACTTCAGCTTTAAGGAGCTTTAAATGTAACTTCTTGCCATGTTAGAGATAAGAAGAACTTCAAATTTCTTGATTTTTTTTCTTCATTAAACAAGACATGGTGCTTTTTAAAAATCTCTGCAATATGTATACTTGATGACTCTCATAGATTCTTTTTCATACAAGAAATCCACAAATGTATTTTCATTAAAAAGAATTAACTGGTATAGATGGTGTATGGACAGCAAAACATGAAAGTTCTCATTCATCTTCTCACCCCATCCTCAATTCCTAGAGTTAACAGTTTGTGTTATTACCTTCCATCCCTCTCAGTGCATTTATATACATTTGTTTCTTTTTTAAAACATGAGATTATACTGTACGTATTTTTTACAGCTTGTTGTATTTCATTTAAAAGTGTCTTGGAAATGTTCCCAATCTTATTTTTGTCTTTCTGTTTTTAACAGCTGCATATGTTCTATAATATTGTGTTGACTATTTATGTATATATATATACACATATCTTTAAACACACAGGATTAGTTCTGTAGATTAGATTCCTAGATTTCCTACATCAAAGGAACTTTTTTAAACTGTCCGTGAGATTTTTTTCCTCTAAGATCCCTTGTGGTTTGATTATTATTTTTCTGGAAAATTTATTATTTGACTCTAGAAGTTTGGGGAACTGCTTGGAATAGTGACCTGAAATAAATATCCCAGCTATGGCTTTGTTGCCCCTGGCAAGAGAGTTATAAACCATGAGTTTTATAGCCTTAGTGGCTTTATTTGTTAAAAAGGAAAAGTAAAGTTGATCTCTTAAATCAGGCGTTTTAGCTAGCACATGTTAAGATATGACTCCTGGCCCAAATCTGTGGGAAAAACAGCGGAGAGTTTTTGAAGGGCTGCCCTGGTGGCACAGTAGTTAAGAGTTCAGGCTGCTAACCAAAAGTCAGCAGTTCAAATCCATCAGCTGCTCCTTGGAAACTCTATGGGGGCGGTTCTACTCTGTCCTATCAACTTGATGGCAACGGGTTTGGTTTTTTGTTTTTTTTTTTTTTTTTTTTGGATAGGAAAAGACTGTTGAAAAGTATTGTTTTCTTGTAACAAATAGAGTATTTTACAGTGGAGAAAACTGGTTCACCTTACCAAGTGATCATGATTAACATTGCATGCGATAATTATGTTGCTACCATGCAGTGATATGATGCAATGAGATTACCTCTGTGGTATTTTTTTCCCTAAAACGTTCGTCTACTCATGAGAAAACACCAGGGAAACCCAATTTGAGAGACAGTCTACAAAATACTGGACCAATACTCTTCAAAAGTCCTAAAATCATGCAAGACAAGTAAAGACTGAGGAACTCTCACAGACTGAAGGACACTAAGGAGACAATAGCAGCTAAATGTAATGTGACATCCTGGATTGGATTCTGGAACAGGAAAAGGACATTAGTACAAAAATTGCTGAGATCTGAATAAAGTCTGTAGTTTAGTATTGTACCAATGTTAAATTCTCAGTTTTGATAAATATGACATGGTTATATTACGATGCTAACACTAGGTGAACCTGGGTGAATGGCATACGGGAACTCTTGTACTATCTTTGCTACTTTTCAAGTGTCTCTTTACCTCTGTACAAAGTGCTCTTAAGAATATTGTCTCTCCAAGAAAACTATTCCTGCCCTCTTAAATCCAAGTGATCCTCTTGTTCCAAAGGGTGGAGTCCAGCAAGATCTTTTGGGCTAAAACTTGATGTAGTTGGGAGAGAGATTATGAATAAGTGAGGCGATATAGCCATGGCTATAAGCAAGCCCATAAACCTGTCATCTGAGGTCGTAGACACCATGGCAAGAGGTCAGTCCTGAAGAATCAGAACTAAGTGGACTGTTCTTTAGAATGGACGGCCATAGAGAAAGTCCAATCTTAAGATGAGAAAGAACTGTTCCAGAAAGGTATGCAGACTAACAAAAAACAAAACAAGACCAGTAATCTTTGCAGGTGTCCACCACAAAATTTGCAAATAGGAGCCATAAGTCATGCTAACTAGTCAGAGGGAATATCTGCTACTCAGAATTATAAAACAGTTCATGACTATTAAAATACAAAAAAGACAGATGAGTGGAAGTTAAAACATTAATAGCTCCATAACTGCTATAATTGCAACTTCTCCAATTGGAACAGGAAACCTTATGCAGCTAAAAATGAGGCTGAACTAATGAAGAAGGTCTGAGGAGCCCCTGCAGCTAGCAAGTATCTAGACATTCTTACAGAAGATATGACTAGGTAAGGATAGGTGAGTAACCCAAAGACCCAGTGCAAAATGGGTTAGGACCAGTGACTAAAAAGATTATCAATCCTCACATAAAGAGGAAATAGTATTTATATGGAACCTCCCACCCCACTGCTAACAAAATACTGGAATTAGTTATATGTGTGCCCAAGATAACTTGCATTATAAGTCACTCCTATTCATTCCTCTTGATAATTTGGAATTTAAGAGGTTAATTAAATCAAAAGCTCTATTTATCATAGATAATGTAAAAATTCTTCAATGGGTTGGTCCATCTGGTTACAATTTTGGTTTCAAACCCCCATTATGCAGCTGGCACCGGAATAAACACTGTCTCCAAATGTGAGTAGAACAGGTCGGTCATAAACAAGCAAAAACAAGTTTTACTTTTTATGGCTAGTATTCAAGATGTTAGCAAAAGTATTTCATGTATTTCTTTTAGACAAACTTTTTTTTACCATGATGTGTTTGACTGAGGCCAGTGGTCAACAAATTTTGTCTATAAAGGGCCAGATATAAATATTTAAGGCTTTGTGGGCCACATACGGTCTCTGGTACATATTTGTCATTGCTTTTTTTTTTTAAACCTTTAAAATTTAAAACGCTTTAACAATGAAAAAAAGTGTTCTCTGTGTCCTTCACCACCTTTTCATGTTCCTTGATAGTGGCTGAAGTTTGGAGACTTGTCTTAAACAAAGATTTGAAATGAAATTTCTGGCTGTGGATTTATTGCCATTGGCAAAACATTTAAAATCATGACTTTTATCACTCTAATGGCTTTACTAAAAAATGGATGTGTAGTTGATCTCTTATTGCAGGCATTTCAGTATATTCATGGGGAATGTTCTCTATAAAACTTGTAAAACTCATCATACCCTGAAAGTTTGCTATCCAGAAACTTAACTACCTAAATAGTTTTTAAGGTCAAATTATTATTTATACAAGACATACTTTGTTTCTAAATAGACTATATTTATTAAATTAGTCTCTATTTTAAAATGTAACTGTGGTGATCTATTTTTAAACGACTCAGTATGTTTTCTCGTTTAACCCATTAACTGCCCCTTTTAATAGTTTTATTGCTGCTTGGATGTGTAAATAGACTATAAAGCTGCATTCTTGCTTCTGAAGGGTTTCATTTTACAGTTATGTTATAATATCTTTCTCTGGTTTGTGCCATGTTTGTATGCAAATAACTCGCTTCTTATATGTTTTTTTTGCCAACCGTGCCTTCTCTCCACAAGGTATTTTCATAAGCACACTATGCTAATGTTTTTTACAGCAACATGTAAAAAAATTAGCATATCACACTTACGAAAATACCAGGACGTTGTTGGCAAATGTAGAGCGTGCATTATTTGCATGAAAATACGGTAGTTGGGCTGTGGTAGGTCACTGTTTCTGCCCCAAGGCCAGCCTTTACTGGACTTCAGCAGGTGGCCTTTAGGATACTAAGCCATTCAATCACTGTGGAAAAATATCCTAATCCCCCACAAAAGGTTAATGGATTGGATTATATGCTGCAGATTTTAGGGGTATACTTTGCCTACTTCACACAGTTATTCTAAGACAGTAGATAAACTCACATATTTAAAGCTTTGAGCTTTTCTTCTGTTTACAATTTTAATAATGTTCTGTCAAATTGTTTTTTATAGCTCTTATGCTCAAGACCTTGTTTATGTTTGGCTAAACAATAGTTAATTCAGTTGGCAGATATGCAATTTTAGCAGAATGGTGTCTGATGAAAGCCCATTTAATTTGTTTTAACAGTGGCTCGCTAATCACATCTCAGATAATACTTGGAACTATTGGTATTTTTAAAGATATGTTTTAGCAAGAAAACTTAAAGGAGAACACAGAAGATAAAATAATAGTGTGTTTCTTAGTCATTGTTTAATAATCAGTTTCAATTAAAAGGATTTTTTTTACTCATTTTTAAAAGTTGATTGAGTTTTTATTTGCTTTTCTTATGTTTTTAAATAATAATTAAGGCCTTTTATCTCTGATAATTCTCCTTTTAGATATTTAGCTTCTGTAAAAATAAAACTCTTTGTTTCTTAACCAAATGGTAGTTTCTTAGATAGCATACGGGCTTAGTTTCCTACTACTTCCATACCAGTAATACCACAAGTGGGCGGCTTTAAAGAACAGAAATTTATTTTCTCACAGTTCTGGAGGCTGAAAGTCCAGAGGTTCTCGGCTGTGTCATTTCCTTCTGTGAGCCTCTCTTTTAGTTTCTGGTGATAGCCAGTGAGTCTTAGTATTTATTCCTCAGCATCTGTCTTCCCCTGTACGTGTCTCTGTGTCTATTGTGGTGTCTTTATACTTCAGACGTGATTAGGTTTAGGATCCACCCTACACTGTTATGACCTCATTCATATAACAAAAGAAAAATCCTATTTCCAAACAGGATTACATCTGCAAGTACAAGGGCCAGGAATTCAGTACATGTTTTGGGAAGACACAGTCTGATCCATACATATATATATATATATATATTGATTGAGTTATAGTGAATTTCCTCATATAAATTTTATTTTCTCCTAAGCAGAGTCCAGTCTATTGTTGACATCAACGTGTGACAATCATAAGAGAGGGAACTTTAATAAGTGTATAAGGAGAAAATATTGATATATGACTTCTTTTTAAAAATCTCTGAAATTCCACATGTAATTTCTTATATAGAAATTGAGCAGAAAATTGATCTATTTAGTGCTGTTGTAAAGATAATTTTGGGGTTTTAAATAAATGTGACAGTGTTATCTGAGTAATCTCACCATTCTTTCTTTGGAAAACCTGAGTCACTATTAGTTTATATCATGGAAATTGACATGAGACTGTGATTAAGCGTGCAGGCAAGAGATGTGTATTTATGTGATTTGTGTGTACATGTATTTGTCCATTCTTCTGGAGTCTTTAGGGCAGCTGTCATGTTAGCGCTCTCCTGCTTTATTCTTTTGAGTTGCTAGTTGACTGGAAGCTAGAAGGAACGCTTTTAAAGGATTAATGCTGGGGCCCTCCAGTCCTCTCCTTCACCTACATTGTAGCAGCTGCCTCCTGCCCTTTCTGTGGCCCTGCAAGAAGAGCATGCATGTAGCAATCTTCTGTCCTCATGCATTATGGTTTTAAAGGGTTTCTAAAGCACATGGAATGAAGTCTTTCCCAGGACAACTTGTCCAGGCCAGTGCATATGGGAAAAAATATTTCTATGCTCAGTCTTGTAACTGTAACAGTTTTTATTTTGTGAAGTCAGAAGAAATTTGATTCATGAGACAGAGTTGTGCTACAGCTCTGTATTTACCTGCCCTTTCTTTTTGACCTCTTACAGGCAGCAGTATCTGTCCAAAGATCATTATAGTTCCACCTTGTTCAACAAGCAGCACAACCACACTGGTTGATCAGAAGGTATCTGATGAAGAAGCTCAGGGAATAAATGGAAAAACGCCAGCGAAACACTCAGCTGCAAGTCCAAAGCCGCAAGGTATGCTTACTGTGGGTTTATGATTAGGGTGGGTGCTTGTTCACCATGAAGCCTGCCCAAAATGATGACCACTATGAAATAATTTTAAGCAATAACAGAGAGGAATTGCGTGCATTTATTTTTCAGAGAAGAGTCAATCCATGAACTTTCTCAGGCAGAGTTGAGTATTTGCTCAACTCCTGAAACACCTTGTACATTTCTCTATATGGTTCTTTTCATGTTGCCAAAATTGTTTGCATGTCCCCTTAATGGGACATGATAATCTTTTCATGCTTTATTTTTGACCTAGCACAGAGCCTAATTTACTCTGTGCATAGTAAATGGGTAACAAGCAAATCAGTGTTTGGAACTACTTTCAAAAAGTCTTTATGACTTGCTAGATGCCAGAGGATCTGTGAATTGGATAATTCTATAACAGCACTTAATGTATATCAAGAACCTAGTTTTATATTAGGGAACTGGGCTTGCAAAGGCCTTTTAAAAGCATCTACTCAAATTAAAAGTAGTTTTAAGCCATAAAAGAGAGGAATTGCCACTCTGTCCCTCAATGGGGAGAAGAAAATAGAGGGGAGAAGAAAAAAAAAGATAATGGTGGGAAGCTTCAAATGTTGTTGTTATTCAGTGACCATTTTCTTTTACAAAGAAATTTTGGGTGATCTGGGTATAACTTTGAGAAAAATTGTAAATTTTGATGATAGAGAGCAAGGCTTTTTGAAATGTAACACAGAAGCTTAAACTACATGATGATTTAATGTAGTTTCTTCCTAATGAATTTTTATTTATAATGAATGCTGAACATCCAGCCAGCAAACAATATTGGGCATTTTCAGAATTACTTACTTTGAAAAAAATCAATTTCTATTTTGTTTGTTTTGGATTCATTTTAGTCTGCTGTTCTTGCCAAAAAAAAAAAAAAGTATTACAGAGAATTCATTATAAAAGAGTTGGTTGTATTCCTTAAAGTCCTTACATTTTAAGGTTTTCTGAAAGAGATCTTTAAAACAGGTTTAAAATGGAATCTTCTTGATTATGGGATATTTGAGTATCTTTTTGTTATCACCATTAGCTATATTCATTTTAATTTCCTAGTTAGTTTTTAGTTACATTAGTGCTAGGGAGTTCACGAGTACCAGTAGTAATAACCCAAATTGTGGTAAAAACAAAGCAAAGCAAAACATGATATAAAACCAAATTTAACATAAACTATTATCTTAAAATTTGTCATTCTAATGCTATCTAACATGCAGCTTTTATTTAGTAATGGTAGTGGTGATGGTGGCAGTGTCATGGCGTATGACTTATCAAACAAGGTCAAATAATTTGTACTTCAAATGAGTAGCCCATTCAAAAGTTTATAGCCTTTTGTCCGTACTACTCCCTATGACATTGATATGAATGTAAATGTAAGAATTTTTTTTAACGTAATTTAAGCCATTTTATTTACAAATTACAAAATTCTATCTTGCTTATTAGACCTGAGTTGACAAAGACCAAATATGAGATAAGAATATAGAAAAGGAATTCAGTTTAAGTTTATGTAATTGCCTAGATCAACAGCAAGAATTTCATTATTTAAAAAGCCTTTTTTTGAAGATGCTTTGCATTACTTCGTTGTTTTTCATAGCCAGTGTTTTGAGATAAATTATAGCAGTGTTCTTCCTGAGCTTCCATGTGCCAAATTAATCCCATTCTGTAGGGAGACAACACTTGATCTCATTTTTACTGTTTTACAGGCATTTCAAGTCAATACATTGATAATATTTAAATGTGTATTTACTTCCTATCTTGAACTTGGATCAGGTATATATAATTTTATAAAACTGCTGGGAACCTTTCCCAATATTAAATAAATGGTACTTTATACATCTTTTTCAAAATACTCTCACTAGTTTGTTTTCTGACACCTCTAACTAAAATTTCAACCCCACCCTCAATCCTGACATTTCATATTCTCCCATCCCTACTTTATTTTTTCGCATTCATGACAATCTAACCTACTATATAGTTTACTCATCCATCTTGGTTTTTTCTGCCTTTTGAAATGCTACACCCCCAGCACATAGCAGGCCTTCAGTAACGCTTGAGTAAATTTCTGCCACATCCTGTAATTCACAGGACAGCCACAACAGCAAAGAATTATCCTGTCCAAAATGTCGATAATAAGAAACCAAGAAACCCTGATCTGGATCCTAAAATGAACACGTAATTAAGTCTTTTTTCCCCCCTCATATGGAGTGTTAATGAGAACATAAGTACAATTTATTCTGGAGAGTTTAAAAGGAGAGACAGTATTGAATATTTTTCTTTGTGGTGATGATGTTAGTAATGTGTTCGGAACAATGTAAGGTTATATATATGTTTATTAATTACCAACAAATATTAATTAAACATTTCTGAATTATTTATGATTTTAAAAGGGGAAAGAGTTAAAATTTAAATCAGAGATAAGTTTACATTTTAATCTTTATTGGAAAATGTAGATTCTGAAATGGTTTTGTTCAATAGAGAGTTTATTTTGCATCAGCTTCAGAAAATACCCTCAGGCTCTGGAAAACAATGGTTTATTCACTTCATACCAATCCTACCAGTCAGTACAAACAAATAAATTACTGAGCAACTTGCAACATAAGTCTTTCTTTTTGTTCACCACATGTAATACTGGCCTATTTCCTGCCATGCTAACTGTAACTTAAAATAGCTTCCTTCACAATTATAGCTAATAGTTCTTTTTCTCTTAGGAACGTTGATCTGCAATGATCTGCAACGTTCTCCACATGTTGATTAAATACCATCACTTCTCAGTCATTAAATCTAAATGTTTTAAAATTTTTCATGAACTTTGAAGGCTGTATTTTTGTTGAGTAATTTATGTAAATTTAGAGTACTCAAACCTATGTCATTTGCTTCTAAAGCAAAGCAATCCACGTGTAATGATCAATTCATTAAAAAGTGTGATATGTTATAAATTTATAAAGCCTTAATATATAGCCAGCTTTTGCTTTTTCATAGTAATCAAAATAAGAGTAATTGAAATCTACTGGTAATCCCAAAACACAAACTGGCAATTAGTTTCTCTTTTCATTCTCAAATAATCATTTTGCACAGACTTGGGAATGTTTGAATAATTAAATTGTTTCATTCTGTTTACTCTCTGCAGGATTGGCTGTAATAAACATCATTTGATTTATAGTCAAATAAGCATAGTGGTTAAGAGCTATGGCTGCTAACCAAAAGGTCAGCAGTTCAAATCCACCAGGCACTCCTTGGAATCCCTATGGGGCAGTTTACTCTGTCCTTCTAGGGTCACTATGAGTCAGAATAGAGTCGATAGCAACAGGTTTGGTTTTTTTTGGTTAGGTATCTCAAACTTAGCATGCCCAAAACTGAGCTCCTGTTCATCTTTCCAGAATTTGCTCTGTCCACCTTGCCAGATGATGACAACTCCATCCTTCCAGTTTTTCAGGCCAAAGCTTCCAGGGATTCTCGGCTCTTTCTCTCACACCTCACCTTTAATCTGTCAGGAAATCTACCTTTAAAATATTTCTCCCTATCATTTCTATTGGTATGGAATCCAGCTATTTCTCACTACCTCCTTCTAAGCAATATATCTCTCACCTGGATTTCTGCAATAACTGCCTAACTGTTCTCCCTGCTCCTACTTTCCCTCTACATTCTCAACAACATCAGCCAGAGCAGTCCTGTTGAAATTTAAGTCATGATTTCACTCCTCTGCTCAGACTCTGCAGTGGCTTCCCATTTCACTCAGTCAGAATCCTTTCAGTGGTCACAAGACTCTACCCTCTGAACCCAACACGTACTGTGCACCTTGCTAATTCAGCTTCAGTCACAGTGGCCTCCCAGTCTCAGGACATCTAGCTTTCCGTCTACCTGGTGGAACAATCTTCCCCAGATAACTCCTCAACTTAACTTGCTCAAATCACAAATTCTTAAAGAGGCCGTCTTTGAACATCCTATTTAGTATTGCAGCCTACCCTTCCCTGGCACTCTTGTGCTCTGGATTCTCTTTGCTTGCTCCTTTTTTTTTTCTTTTCCTCTAGCACTCACCATCTTCTGATACAAGATTTACTTATTAACGATGCTTTTTAAAATCATCTTTCCTTCTGTTCATTAATATACTCAAGTGCCTCTAACTTAATAGGTATTTAATAAATATTAGTTGAATTAAGGAAAAAGTGTAAGAATTTCTCTAAACCTGGTGCCATCGAGTTGATTCCAACTCATAGTGACCCTATAGGACAGAGTAGAACTGCCCCATAGAGAGTTCAAAGTTGTAATCTTTATGGAAGCAGACTGCCACATCTTTCTCCCTCGGAGTCACTGGTGGGCTCGAACTACTGACCTTTCAGTTACCAGCTGAACACTTAAACATTGTGCCACCAGGGCTCCTTAAGAATTTCTCTAAAATATATATTTTGGAAATACCAAATTCTCTAAAGTGGTTTTATCAATTTATACTCCCACTCAAAATGTATGAGTGCTCACCTTGCTAATGTCAAATTATTGATCCCTAGAACCAATATAGTATTGGAAGAAAGAAAAATTTTAAATGAATAATTGATTGAAATATCAGAAAATAAAAAACAATGATTGGAGCTTCAGGGTTTTTCCCTTCTTATAGTCTCTAATAAGCAAAAAAAACCAAACTCGTTGCCGTCGGGTTGGTTACGACTCACGTTGACCCCAAGTATTACAGAGTAGAACTGCTCCATAGGGTTTTCTTGGCTGTAATCTTTATGGAACCAGATCACCAGGCCTTTCTTCTGCAGTGCCATTCAGTGGGTTTGAACCTTCAACCTCTAGGTCAATAGTTGAGCGCAAAGCATTTGTGCTGCCTAGGGACCTTAGTCTCTGATACCAGTCTTAAAACTATGGTTTTAGGATATTGCCTACAATGTATGATTTCCTTTTTCCCTATTGTAGAACTAGATTTGGAGGGGAAAAATCATTTTAAACGTTGATATGTCGTGTATTTTCTGAGAGCATTGATTTTTTTTTAATGCTAGCTTTTAGTTATGTTTTGTTGTTGTCGTTTGTATTTTTTTAGTTTCAGCATAGATTTTCAACAATCTGGATGTTTACATGTAAGGGGGGTAGGTTACTTTTTTTACTGGTCCTTTCCAATTTATGATCATATATGCTCTCAGTTACACATCATATTTAAGAGGATTGATAGCTATTATAGTAATTTTAAAGAAATAATAGCAAATAGTTTCCCATTTTGCATCCAGGGCAGACATTGCTAATTTATCTTCCCAGTGAGCCTAGACTCTCAAATTCTTTTCGATACAACAATAACTGATCAGAGTTACCCTTGCCATTTCTTAGTAAAAGTAATCAATGACTCTGATATCAGAAGTTGCCAGTGAAAAATCCATTTTATAAGTACACATAAACATACATACACATCCATTATTGGTCTTTCATTTTTGTTGTTTATTTGGAAATAGAGTTTCGAATTGAAAACATGGGAACGAGAGATACGTGAAAGATTATAGGGTGACAGAATACTAACTGTGTGAAGGGAGAAGAGGAGACTGAATTTGGCAGATGGTATATAGTACAATCATCTGGGCTTTGTAAAGTGATTGTATAAAGGGGAGTAATGTTAGTGGAGGGAGGAGCTTCCCCTTTGGATTGTGCATCCACAAGAGCGAGACCTATGCCTATCCACAAAGCTTAGAACACTGTCTGGTAGATTATGATTAGTATTTATTTGTGGAATGAATGATTCTGAAATGAATGAAGAATGGTGTTACCATTAGTAGAAATAGGGAACAGAGTACAGAAGGAGGAGCTAGTTTGCAGAGGGAAAAAAATAATAAGTTGAATTTCAGACATAATGAACTGGAGGTACCAATAGAACACCCAGGAGAGCATTTGGGAATGCTAACCCCCATAGTGTAAAAGAAAGATCAAAAATGGTGAGGGGGTGAGTGAGTGAGTGATTGGGGGGCTGAGGGGACTTATCCTTAGAGACACTAACGGGAAAGCAGTGACACAGCTGATGTTTACAAGGGGGAAAATGGTAAAAGAGAAGATAAGTCTTTGTAGTAAAACCCCTAGAGAACATTTAGGGGACAGAGAAGGAAAATGATGAGTTCTTAGAGATATAAAGGGTGAATGCAGTTTGGTTGGTTTCCCAGAAGCTAAGAAATGTGGCCATGAAAAGAAATTTAGTTTCAATAATTTGAGATACCTGTTTCTTGGTTGCTGCTAGTATTATTGTTTTTAGATACAAAGTTTTGAACTGAATCATGAGATTAGGGTTTTATTTTGGAATTCTATTTTTAGCACTGTAAGTAAATAGTATTGAAGATATATTTCCCTTTGAATTCTGCATTAGATGTTCCTAGTTGTTACTGCTTATCTTTGGGAGCTGAAAGAATGATTTTCACTAGTCAGTTATATCTTTTGAACAAATTGTGCATTATTTTTGTAATACCACTAAGTGATTAACAAACAAAACGGCAGAATTTTCCTCTAGGACAGTTTCTGAAACTATAGCCATTCGTATACCATCTTGAGATTGTTTACCATATCTACTTACCATTTGTACTCTTTTATTTAAAATGTATAGACTCTTCACTGATTTACTATACATTTGGATTATCTCCCATGTATGGAATTATCTCCCATAGCTATCTCTATGTTTCTGCAATACCCGTGTACCCAATGCCCATCTTTATCACCATCACTAAACTCTCCCCATGGGAATATGAGATCCTTGATGGTGCATTAATTAATTCCTTTTTGTATTCAACAAATATGACTCAACTGCCCATAGTTGCCAAACACTGCAGGTAGTCACTGTAATTGTGATCAAAACCTACATGTTCCTTATTCTTATGGAACTCCTGCTCTGTGGGGGAGAAAAATTTTAATCTATAGTGCATTTATTATTTTATTACCAAGTTACTATTATTTCATAATATCTATGACTATTTAATAATTATTATGCAATACATTAATATAAGCACTTTGAAGAAAAAGTACGTAGTGCTGTGAAACAGTTTAAGAGAAGAGCAAAACATAGTTTGGGAAGATTGGTGAAGTCCTCTGAGAACTGACAGGTTGAGGCATTTATTTGAATCTTTTGAGCATCTAGCACAGTGTCTGGCACATATAAATAAGGAATAAATGTTCAATGAGTAAATTCTAGATAGATGGATGAGTTGTTTTATAATAGTCTTAGCACATAGAATTCTAAGAACATATTCACTTGCTTCTTTTAATATTCTAATTAGGAGTGTTGAAATTAGTCCTAATGTTAAAAAAAAAAAATTGGAAAGGGCTTTTCCTTGTTTACTACTTTAACATACTGGTGTTTTAGACAGGAAATTTCTCCTTAAAATTAACAAATATCACACTTACAGAAGCCTCTTCCTTCCCTATGGATACTATATTAACAATCCCCCTGAACATCTTGGAACTTAATGTCATTTTCATAAAAAGAGACATCATTTTTTCACTGAGATTATTTTTCTGTTTCTGTGTAAAGGGAATTAAGCTAATTAATTGCTCTACTTGCTAGTTCATTGTGATATTTTGTCTTCTCTGTAATTGATAACTGATGCAGAAATTATGAAATCTAGGCCAGTGAGCATCAGGCAACTGTCAGCTGGCTGAGTTTATAAGACAGATAACTGAAAACCAGAGTAACCAGCTCGGGAAAAATGGGGCATGTAGTTAGGAGGAGACATGGTTCCCAGCCCTATTCCAGGAAGGGAGGAGAAGGGTTAAAAAGAAATAAATAAAAAGAAAAAGAAAATGATCTATTTGATGTTAAACTGGTTATAGAAGAATAGATACATATTATAATCTTTTACCCAGAGTGTTAATCTTACAGAAAACTGGTAACTGGTTTTCAGAAGTGAAATAATTCCTGTATTAAGCACTTGTGGCATATTATATTTTCTCTTCTGCTGTAGCTTTTAGTATTTAATAATGCAAGAAACTGCAACACAAGGATCTATTCCTATTTTATTAACTGAGTGAAAGTCTTTTAGTAAGCAATTGATTTGTGGTATGTTATTGATGCAAGCCTGCTATATAATGTGGCAGATAACAATAATAGAACTTCTATCTTCTTCCTTTACTGGATTTATGATAAGAAGTAGTGCTGATAGTGGAAGGAAGTGGAATCTGGCTACCAGTCAAAAATCAGAGTAGCCTTTTTTAGCGTGGGCCAGTTATTTACCTGGGGTAAAAATACAAATAATGGTACCTACCTAAGAGAACTGTGAAGTATGAAATTTCATCTAAGATCAAATTAGATAAGGTGCTTTTGTTAAATGGAAAGCTGTTGCAAAATGCAACATTTTATTACTGTTGTTGCTGTTTTGTTGGCTTTTGTGCTTAACTCAGTAGCTCTTGATTCGGGTGTATTCATTGTCACTCTGTTATTAAAATATCTATTTTTTAGCAAGCAATATGTCACTAGGATTTAGTTTCAAACTTAGCAACTTCTTTCCCATTTAGAGGAATAACTGCTATATTATCTCTAATAGAGTCAGGAATGCTACAGCTGTCTGTAGATCCCTGGGTGTTTAATAATGCCATATGTAAAATGAACTAAAATTAAAAGAACCACTTAAATCTTGGAGACGGAATTTTCATGGGACAAAGAGTAGATGTCCAAAATAATGATAAAGTTCCCTTGGTGGAGGTTCAGTGCAAATTTGAGAGAGCCCCCTCTACAAAAGTTTGATAATGCTAAAGATTTTTTTACACTCCTAACGCCAGAATTTTATTGTTAAAGAACAAAAACATCAGTGAAATACTGAATTCTATTAACTGTTTTTCTACAGTGCCTCCAAAGCCATTACATCTGCGGAATTCACCTTCATCCAATATACACCAAACCCCCAGGCATAAAGCTTTATCTGGTGCAAAACCAAGGATGGAGGAAGCTAAACCTGCCTCTGCTTCTTGTGTCTCAAAAGAAAAACCCAGTAAGGTATCAGATCTCATCAGCCGTTTTGAAGGAGGCAGGTAAGAGTTCATTTACAATGGGAGAAGACAAAGGGAAGAAAAAAGCTGATTTTTAAAAAAGATGATAGAGTCATAGATTTTTTAAATCAAAAAATATAATCTCTTAATGCCATTAGATTCAGTAGGCCTGTAGAAGGAGTGAATTTTTAAAAGAAATTACTTACTCTTGCTCTAATATGAATTATCACTTTCTATATCTTACCAATGTGCAGCACTCTATACCACCAGCTTTTTTATTAAATTGTGTTCTTTTCTGCATACGTGCTGGCTCTTGTTTATTGGTTTGTTTGTTTGTTTTCTCCTGCATCTGTGGATGTCACTCTGTGTATGTCACTACATGTCTGGATCTCTGGATTGGAGGGGTAGGGAAGTTTTCTCTATCTCTTCGTTTCTCACTGTGCATATTTGTGTACATGACTCCTGTTGGCTTGTCCTGTCCCTGTGGCCCTCTCTTCTTTCTGACCCATTTTATTCTATGTGAGTCTTCTACACCTGTTCTGTCCCTACTGCCCCTCTCTCCATGCCCCTACCTTCTGGTAGGTTTTGTGAAGAGATAGTGCCAGTAGCAAAATACTTATATTTATTAGATATATTTTTATATTCTTTAGCCCTAATGTGTAAAAAAAGTAGGTGAAATGTTTATTTTTCACTTAAAAAAAAAAACCCACATAAGTTGTTTTTCTACTTATTTGACCCTCAATGTTTTTTTTCTTAGAAGTTCTTTGACAGAAAGAATTTCCATCACTGATTTAAATAAAATTTTTAAAAGGATTTAATTTTCTTGGTCACTAAAGTCTAATGTATAGTTAAACAGAATGTATATAAGTTCACTTTCATCCTTGAAGCCAAATATTTCCATTCATTCCAGTGTAATAATTGAGTATGGTTTCCCATTAGGTGATTTTATTATTTACTTGCAGAATTTATTGTTATTTATGAAATTGATTATAGTAGTTCTTGGAAATACTTTCAGAATTTTTTTAAAATCTAAACTTTTGGAAATTGTGACCAGACATGAAACTGCAGTGTCCCTAATTTAATGGACTATATATAGTAACAAATTCTAGAGAAAAGTAATTCAGAACCCTATCTTCACTTCTAATCAATTAATGGGAACTTCAGTCATACATATTTAAATTTCAACATCTCCTCCTATGAAGTAGAATTTATGATACCTTTCGTATCTTAAAGTATAGTGATCTTTACTAGAATGATTTAATATGACAGGCTAGAGCCCCAGTCCCCATCCATAGGCATATGCCAGAATCTGTATCCACAGATTTGAAAGGATGAGTACTCTAATACCCACCATTTTGGTACCCCATTCTTCACACTGTTTTGGGTTCCTCTCTATAGACAATATATACAATAATCTTATCCCACTTATTTATTTTTTTGTAATTTATTTTTGTTGTTGAGAATATACACAGCAGAATATACACCAATTTGACAATTTCTACATGTACAATTCAGTGACATTGATTACATTCTTCAAGTTGTGCAATTATTCTCACCCCCCTTTCCAGAGTTGTTCCTCCCCCATTAGCATACACTCACTTCCCCCCAAGGTTCCCATCTAATCTTTTGAGTTATTGTCAGTTTGATCCCATATAGATAGATCTTAAAAGAGCATAATTCTCAAGGCAGACATTCTTTGCTGGATAAGCTAAATTACCATCTGGTTTAAAGATTATCTCAGGGCAATAGTTTCAGGGGTTCATCCAGCCTCTGTGGCTCCAGAAATTCTGGATTCCATGGGAATTTTAAATTCTGTTCTACATTGTCCCCCTTTTGATCAGTCTGATCCCACTTATTAATGTAATACTCTTTCAAGTGTCAGACTCAAAGTCATTTTTTGCTGCAAAGCTTGAAGGTTTGGTCTGAGGGGAGAGGATGAAAGATATTTGGAATAGTCTGCCTATTACTGCAATTTATCTATGACACTTCAAGCAAGTTTGTTCTCAGTGTAGAGAGAGTATAATGTAATCCTTTTGTCAAGTCTAGTGAAGGAATGATACTCTGGCAGAGTCCATTGCCAATACAAAAAATAGTTATGTTTTTAGTGAGATATTACCAAAAGGAACTGGCCTTAAAAAGCGTCTTGAGTGTGTGAATTTTGCCTTGTGTCTGTAGGACTTTAGTGAGAAGTTTGTATTTCCTCTTGAGTAATGTCCATGTGCCTGCAGTGTAGCTCTCGGTTTTAACCTGTCTTCACAGCTTAAACTAGCACCTTGTGGATGGAGGGAGATTCACCAGGAAGAACCAGTGTCTTTCAGAGTGAGATATAGTCAGGATGGTCATAGAAGATCCTACCATACTGCTATTAAGACCTTATCCCTGTAACATAGTTTGCTTTGTGCAATAATCCAAGTAATGCTGTTTAAATAAGATGAGTGATTTGGTGGATGCATTTGGAGTAAATGGATTTTATTTTTTACAGTGGCTTCTTCAATTTTTTGTTTGTTTGCTTTTTGAGAGTAAGAGAGACTAGGAGAGACTTCAGAAATTAAGAAATAAATATCAATTTCCTACAGAATTGAGCATTGGTTTTTCCCAAGGACACTGTATGACTTGACATCCACAACACAGGAGGAATCTGCTTAGTATTGCTAAGTTCAACCCTTTCCAGCTGGAATAAGTTTATCTTTATTCTAGAAGTTTTCCATGCAAATGTTTTCATGCTTCCTTTGTATTTTATTTTGTAGCACATTATCAAATTACAGTGATTTGAAGAAGGAACCTGCTGTAAGCCTAAATGCTCCTAGAACCCTGGGAAGGTATGGACTGACAACCACACCTCAGCAAAAACTCCTCTCCCAGCACCCACTACAGAAGCAGGGAAATGATACAGATCAAACTCAGGGTGTACAGACTTGTGTGGCCAATGGTGTAATGGCAGCACAGAACCAGATGGAGTGTGAGGAGGATAAAACAGCCCCCCTTAGCCCAGATACTTCTATTCAAACTTCCGAACCATTGCTTGATACAAACTTGGTGAATGGAGAAAGAGATGAAACTGCCACAGGCCCTGCATCACCCACAACAAATAACTGTGATGGAAATGCTTCTGACAGTAACTGCAGGACTCCTAATACAGACCCCGAGCTCACACTGGAAGAAGGCAGGGCAGAAGCAGAAGCCAAGGTCCAAGAGAGGGAAAATGGAGAATGCCCTTTGGAACTGGAACAGCTAGATCAGCACCATGAGATGAAGGTAAAGTATGAGGCTGTGACTTATAAATAGGGGGAAGCACTGCCTATTCTGTTGATATTTTAAAACTGTTTTTGCTATTGAGTCAGTTCAACTCATGGCAAGAACTGCCCTCCGTAGGGTTTTCAATGGCTATAGTCTTTCAGAATTAGATTGCCAAGCCTTTCTTCCAAGGCACCTCTGGGTAGATTCGAACCTCCAGCCTTTCGGTTAGTAACCGAGTGCTTAACCATTTGTGTTTACCTAGGGACTCCCTTTATTTCACAGCATCCATGAAATTGATGGGTCACATCACCCACGTGACATGTGAACAGTTTTCAAGCTCTAGCTTCTAATGGGTGTTTTCCCTGTTCTCTTAGGAGAGATCTCACTTTTTCTTCTTAGGTACTTTTTGTTGATCTCTCTACTGTGATTTCAAGAATCAGAAGAGTGTGGCGACTTTGGTATCAGAAAACCACAAACACGTTGTTTATACATAGGAAGAAAATATTCTTTGATGCTCTAGATGTTAGGGTTGAATCTCTAATATTTATGGAGGAAATTGTATAGTCTTTGCTTTTCAGAAGTTGCTAATTTAGTAAAATAAATAGTAGATATGGAAGAATTAACTTGCCTTAGCAGATGTTACTTTTTAAGGGCATGACATGGAAGTATTCAGACTATTCTGCAGATTAAATTTATAACTCCAGGCTTCTAATTTTTTTTTTTTAATTTTCTAATTAATACTCAGTTTTATAGACAATGACCTAACCTTGGAGTTAGAAAGCCCTTTAAACATCATCGTAGTTTAGCAATTCATTTATAGATGAAGAAATAGTCCTGAAGAGGTGAAGTGATTTTCTAAGGTCACAGTGCTGTCTGTAAGCAATAACAGCCCAGAGCTCTGTGCCTTCACTCCCAGGCCAGTGTTGTGTCACTGATGCAAAAGGTCACAAACTTAAATGTCTACTACAGGTAATGTCAATGAAGTAGCAACCATGGATGATGATATACTAGAGGTTGGTGAGACTGTGGCGAACTTGAAGGTCATATCCTTTCTAAAGAACTTCTAAAGAAGTTTAAATCCTTTCAGTGAACCACCTGAATGGTGTTTCTGCCCATATGCATAATCTCAGCTAACAAAGCTGATTTGCTAGTGAAATCAGCATTCATAGTTTACCTGTGTTACAACAGAAACTTGTATATAATTCCAATACAAGGCCATTACATTTTTGTTCTATATTCATATCAGTGTAGTGCTTTGAAAAGATTAGTAAGTATGATTTTTATAAAATACTTGGAGTTTCTTGGATCAAAGATAGAATATAGCTGTCATTGTAAAATTCCTTAGAATAGAAAGTTGTTTACAGCTCTGAAGATAAGGAAAAAAGTTTCCATTACTTAGTGTCTGTTATCCATTATAAGTAACAATCTGTGTAGAAGAGTTGAGAGTTGAAAATTTGACCAGTATGGGAAAATTTGTAAATGACAAATCCAACTCCTAAATCTGGTTAGGATTTCTTACGATGCTTTATCCTGAGATTAACATAGGCAGAAATTCAAAAGGACAGGTACTAAAATATTAGGGTGAAAAGTGATTGCTTGATATACTTAGAACCCTAAAGTGAAACCCACCTTATGGTACGATTATCATTGACCCTGAACACAATCCCAAATAGACAAAGAACCAATAGTTTATTTTCGTCCAGTTAGTGAAATAATTTAAAAAGCTGACTTATTCAAAGAAGTATCTTAAGCAGGGAAAGTTTAAATAAGGAAGTAGGTGTGAGAAAACGAGTCGTACTTGTTAACAGTATCTGAAACATTACAGAAATAAGACATTGCAAAAGGAATCTCTGTATCTCCATATAGTGGTAGATTTTAGTGGCTTTGTGCTGAACCATGGTGTACAGAACAAAAGGGTGGAATCAAGAAACTCAAGACTCACACATCTGCCCTTTTACGGATGGGATGATAGCACCAGCAAGTATTTATAAAACAGTAAGAGCTGTTCAATTTCAAGGAAGGTACTTAAATTGGTTATACCTGTGCTTGTTGTGTGCTTTTTGTTTTTTGCAGTATATTGTTGTTTGTGCATTTGCATAGGTGAGTCTTATTTGGTTTGAGAGAGACTTAATAGGGATTTTCTATTAAACTAGTGCACCGTAGAATCGTGTATGCCTTTCTCTGAAATGGGTATTTAAGCAGGGGATGGCACATGCCATATGTGGGAAGAAAAAGGAAATCTTCTCTGCAGAGCTATTGATCCAAACACCCTATTTCTTGTTCATCTAAAAAAGGAATATTAAGATTTAATTTCTACATGGTGACAATCAGTGTGTTCCCCTTTGCTGCTCTCATGTTTCTTTACCTTTTGTTTTTCCCAAAATGCAAAAATATACATTAGTAACATATAGTAGGCCAGACAATTAACCAGGAATCAGGAAATCTTGATTCTACTTCTGGCTTGTTTGCTAATTACAGGGGGACCTTGGACAAGTCAATTAAATTCTCTGTGCCTTTTATTTCCTAAAATAAAAATTAAAGGATTTAAACTAACTATAATCTTAAGGTCCTTTTTAGTTACAATATAATAATTGTCTTTTGTTAAATGTAGGTATATTCCTTTGTTAGCCTAGCCCTCCAGATTATCAGCTGCTTCTTAAACTGTCAATTGTGTTGAATTTCTAAGACATAAGAGAATATTTGAGTTTCATTATGCAGACAACTGAAAAATTACCTAGATCCGTAACTCAATGTAGAGATTTACAACAGAATAATATTAAGTCAGTTTCATTTTAACCAGTATTAAATTTAATGGACATTTCCTAAATGCCCACCAGAAGTAGGAGAATGAAGGGGTGGAATAGAATTGCAAAGATAGTTCAGGAGAATAGATACGTATTAAAATATATCTTGAATAATCATTAATAATTGAGAATGACTTGAAAATAGTCTCAGCTTGTATAACTGTTTCACTGATAGCTGATTTATTTTGATGAAGAATCTCTTTTTTTAACCTCAATGGTGAAATATAAAATACTGTTATTTTTACTATGTAAAAGAGAAAGAATACCTACCTCGTTGAAGCTATTGGCTCTCCTATACTCTAATAAAGCTACACTTCTCTGGTATTTAAACTTTGTGCCGTGACAGTGGTCTAGAATATAGCTAGACACCTCAAAGCAAGCATATACTTAAAAAAACCCTGAGAACCAAATGAAAATTGTTAGCACTCTGTAATGCCTTTAGCTCTCACCCACAGAGTATTAGCAGTATCTTTAAACTAAGGTTACTCATGGATTATGGCATATTAAAAGAGTAAAATCTGCTATAGGGGAAATGTTGTTATAAGGAAACACATTAAAAGCCATAAATTACAGGGAAGGAAAAAGCAAAGGAATAGTGTGTGTGTGTTCGTGCATGTGTGCAAGTATGCACCCTCTAAATGAATAATTTATTTTATAAGGATCAACACAAAGCTGGTTCCTATGAGGCAGAGGTTAAAGATGTCCCAAATGTCCAGCTTTCCCAAACTGCTGTCCCACTCCATCATCTCTAACATCAACTACTTCTCCTCCCCTCAGTACTCTCCCTCCCATCTTTGGGTTCTGTAATCCACTGCAGTGTCTCAAAGACTTACGAACCGTACCAAGGAAATGGCTCACACAGGTGTGGAGGCTGGCAAGTCCCAAATCCGCGGGTCAGGCATAGACTTCTCCTGACTCAAGTGGCCGTGGGGCTGACGAACCCTAATTGGCAGGCTAGATGACAGGCTGCTGGTTCACAAGTCTGCAGAAGCTGGCAGATCAGGGCACATGATAGACTGCTGGCGGACGGGCTGCAGAAGCTGGAGAATCCCAGAATCAGCAGGTTAGATGGCAGGCTGCTGGCTCATGTCCCAAGAACCAGAGGTCAGACAATGACAAGCCAGATGGCAGGATCCAGATGCAGAGAGTGAGAGCCCCGCCAGAGCACCTACATATATACACACTGGATGCAGGCTACACCCCAGGGAAGGGTGTGACTTGAGTAAGAGTGGATTTGAGTAACACTCTCTTGCAAGGCTGTGACTCAAGGTACACCCCACACTAATCCTGCCTCATTAACATACAGAGGTTAGGATTTATTACACATAACCAAAAAAAAATCAAACGGACTGCCATTGAGTCGATTACAACTCATAGCAATCCCATAGGGTTTCCAAGGCTGTAAATCTCTATGGAAGCAGATTGCCACATCTTTTTCTCATGGAGCCGCTGATGGTTTTAAACTGCCTACCTTTTGATTAGCAGTCCATCGCTTTAACCACTGCGCCACCAGGGCTCCTTATAACACATAAAATGGAGGATAATTACATCAGATCACAAAATGGAGGACAGCCACACAATACTGGGAATCATGGCCTAGTCAAGCTGACACACAATACCAACCACCACACCTTGTTAGGGTTCCGTACCTTATTCGCATAGTCCCACTCAATCATTGTATGGGAGTCACAAAGACTATGGGTAGAAGCTCCATATTAAGTAATTCACTGCACCACACCCTCAAAAGCAGCATGGGGCAGTAGTATTATAATTTCTGTTTGAAATAATGAGTTTGGTTTATCATGAATAAGTATGCTCTGTTTAATACACTCAAAAATTAAGAAAATAATCATCTACTAGTAAACAGAATGACAGAATCAAATTCAGAAGTAAAATGCAAATAGAAAACTGTGCTGTAAGCCAGGTTAACTCACTTTTCCTCTTTTCCTTCCATTTCCCCTCACTAAGTTTAATTGTTACTCTTAAAATTATTAATTTTATTGGATGCAAATTGAGGTATCAAGATTTTTTAGTAGTTAAAATATAATGCTTAATTTGGTGATTGATTTCTTATAATGCTCAGCAAGTTCTTTTTTTGTAAAGCTTTAAATTTCCTTCTTTCACTTCTTAAAAAAAAAAAAGAGGATAGCTGTTGAGTGCTTATTAGATTTGAAGGCAAATGGTAAGTTACTTCTTAGCTATGTCTTCTCATGC